GGCGTGACGTGTGGATCTGCCACTGTTTGCCTTCTTTCTTTGTTTCAGACCGGAACATGAGCATTTTGCAGTACTGCCCCTCGTCCGACACCTGGACCCTCTTCGAGACGTGCGACGTCCACATGCGCAAGCAGCAGATGGTGTCGGTGGAGGAGACCATCTACATCGTCGGGGGGTGCCTCCACGAACTGGGGCCCCCCCGCAGGAGCAGCCAGAGCGAGGACATGCTCACCGTGCAGTCCTACAACACCGACACCCGGCAGTGGTTCTGCCTTAAGGAGAACACGTCCAAGTCGGGGCTCAACCTGACGTGCGCGCTGCACAACGACGGCATCTACATCATGAGCAGGGACGTGACCTTGTCCACCACGCTGGAGCACCGCGTCTTCCTCAAGTACAACATCTTTTCCGATAGCTGGGAGGCCTTTCGGCGGTTCCCAGCCTTCGGACACAACTTGCTGGTTTCCTCTCTCTATCTGCCCAATCAAACAGAGACATGACTGAGCTGATGCAGACGGTGTTGTTAGGAAAGCTGGTGCCAAACCATAAGAGATCGAGAACCGCCCCTCTGCCCCTCTGCGAGAGAGACCGATTTCTAAAGCGGAGGGCACGCGCAGAGCGGCTGCGAACACGCGCACCTGGACCTAGTTACTTGAAAACTCCTGAAGCAAAAAGACCAACTTTATTATTTTTTTAACGATTATTTTTTAAGTTACATGAGCAATCCACGATGATGTATTCATCCATGTACGATAGATACCCTTGGGCCTGATCCTCAGAGAGTAGCTTCATTAGCTCTGATCTGTGAAGGGCCAAGTCAGAACTTGGCAAGAGTGGGGATGACTGTTTAAAAAGTGGTTTTATTTAGGTCCCTTAACGTAGCATGAGTACCTTAAGTAAGAGTTTGGTTTTTGATCAGTTTACTCGACACTTTTACGTTCACGGCCGTCGCCCCCTCCTCACCCAGTCACAGCCGCACGTCGTCCTGCTGGTGAAAAGGAGGCCCGATGGTCGGAGTTGATTTGCACACTGCTTTCAGAAGTGGACCATGAGGCAGCTCGACGCCGAATCCTTGCATGCACCTGAAACTCACCTAAAAACATTCCCTAGCTATTTTTTCTAGTCTTTTTGTTTGTTTCTTTTTTTTTTTTATAGTTGTGAATGCTAGGTAATAGTCTGATAGGAATTTTCATTTCAGTTCGGTGGCAGATTGCTGCCTGTCAGATACGTTGCATTGCTTTGTCATTCCATATTTTGAAATGAGACATCTTGTCTACAAGGATACACATACATACTTTGAGCTACAGTCTTAAATTTAAATAAGGAAGGACACCAAATGACAAAAATATCTTGTTGCCTTTAGGAATGAACATTTAGTGGATGTGTTTGAGTTAGTTTTTATTTCAAGGCTGAAAACTTTATCATATTTTAATCAAGCAGCTTTTTAAATGTCATCGTGGCCTCTCATGCTTTGCTTGGCTTGTGTGGTGCAAGGCGAGACCAGCTGGAAAGCACTTGTGCCGGCGAGCAGGGAGCAGCCGCTCCAGAAGAGGAATGGTCTCTGGTGGTATTTCTGAAGTTCGGTAAGGGGCGAAGTTGTTGCCTTGACCGCTGAACCAAACAGAACCCACCCCAAGCAGTTGTTTGTTGATTTCAGTAAGTCCGTTAGCAATACATGAAGACTTATGCCAGCCAGAGGGCAGCGTTCCATATATATGTGTGTATGTATACGTATTGATGGAACTTTTCTTTGATTCAAAAACATCTGAAATTTTCTAATCTTTTGTAAGGATTTGTAAGGGACTTGATTAATTGGATGGTTAATCAGAATTGGTTAAGTTAATAACAGCAGGCAGAACCATTCCCTTTACAGTGTGCCTTGCATCCATGCATGTCACATACACACACACACACACACACACACACACACACTTTGCTGAGTGCTTCCATGCCATGCACGGTGCAGATGGATTTCAGGGGAATTCTTCATTTTAGCACAGGAGTCATGACAAGGTTTCTTTACCGCCTTGCCTCCTGGTGTGCTTACAATGCTGTGTGCCATTGAGTGGATTCGAGTGACTCCAGGACATTTTAGAACTGCCCCCACGGGGTTTCCAAGGCTGAATCTTGATGGACGCAGGCCGCCTCATCTTTTTTTCCATGGAGCAACTACTAGGTTTGAACTGCCGACCTATTGGTTAGCAGTCAAGCACTTTACCACTCTGCCACCAGGGACCTTTATGCTGAAAATGAGGGTCTAGTTATATTGTTTTTGCACAACTTTTCATGGACACTTCTAGTAGGTGAAATTGAGGTAAGCCTGTCTTTGGAACATGGAGACAGGTCTTTGTATCTTGTTCCCAAATCTTATTAGTGTTTGCAACATGGTTTAAGATTTTCTAAGCCATACCCATTTGTTCTCAAATAGGTATCCCCGCCACCTTTTTTTCCAATCTTAACTGAAGTCTTTCCAGAAATAGTTCTTTAATAATAGATTTATAATATTAATTTATATTTGTTATAGAATTGAATTTCTAGCCACCTATACTTTCATTAACTATTTTTAGGAATCTAATTTATTTTCTATTGTTACCTTTTGCTCCCTAGTAACATTTTAAAGGCTTATCCCTGTATGTTTAGGACGTTTAGTGAGCTGCGTTAGCGTGGAGAACAGTGGTTGACGAGCTTGTGAATGACTGCCTTGGGTAACAGAGAACACTACTCCTACCAACCACTTTTCCTCCAGATGGCAGTTTTTGAGTGCATTAACGTTGACAATGAGATGTTTTGGACCAAGCTAGGGCAAACTCTGGTCCAGGAACTCGTAGAAACCAGGTGGGATGTGCCTCTGCCCGCGTTAGAGCGCTCTCTGAGCTACGTGGACGTCGGAGGGTTGGCTGCCCTGGGCCAGCAGCAGTGTTGGGAGAGAGGACGATCTGCAGATTGGTGAGGCCATTCTTCCTCCTTTGCATGTCAGCTGTGTTGACATTTTGAGAGTAGTTTTAATGCACTTCTGTTTTCTGGTGGATTCCAGTGATAGATTGAAGATTCCAGTGAGGTCAGCGGTTCTCAACCTGTGGGTCATGACCCCTTTGGCGGTCGAATGATCCGTTCACAGGGGTCGCCCGATTCATCACCGTGGCAAAATGACAGTTATGAAATAACAAAGATAATTTTATGGCTGGGGTCACCATGACATGAAGAAATATGAGAGGGCCGTGACATGAGGAAGGTCGAGAACCACTGACTTAGCTGAACGGGATCTTTCTCGGGACAGCTGTCCTTGTCCCTAGGATGGTCCTTTGATAACATGCCCTCTTTGCGTTGCCATCCAGTTCTCGGAATGTGTTCGCACTGAGTTCTGGGGTGCTGCTGAGGGTGCCGATTCCAACCGCCCCCCCCCCTCCCCCTAAGGGGAGGCCAGTTACTGAGAGGACTTGGTCGCCGTCTCCCTGAGACTGATGGGAATAGCGGCGAGCCCGGAGTGTGGCTGGATGGCAATTGCTGATCCGTCCAGTCCTCCTTTCTGGTTTTCCCTTCCCAGGCCTCTCCACTGACAACCGGGGGTCTATTGACGGTGCCGGTGCAGCCATCACAGGTACAGAGAAGGCTGTGGAAACTAGTCAGAAGCAAACAAAAAGAGGAAGGATGCAACATGAAAACCAAAGAGTTTCACTCTGTTTTTCTCTCTCCCTTTTTTTCCTTCTCGCCGTGGACCCAAGGTCCCCGGTAATTGCGAATGCCTTAGATCCCCACTCACGCTCTCTGAGAGGGACTGACAGAAAGGGAGCCGTTATCTTGTTGCCTGTTCTGCAGCAGCTGCCTCTTGAGCGTGGTCAGATTTCCAGGTCGAGTCTTGGCCTGTGTGTTTGGCCACACAGGCTGACTGAATGCAAGGCCTTGGCCTCCTGGCCCACCAACACTCAGCAGTAGTTTTAATGCACAAAGGCGTGTCGGCGGCACCGCATGAAGGGCTCTGGGTGAATGTCAGGTGCCTGTCTCTGGCCCCTGGGATGGGAGATACGGAACGCCAATGTCACTGTCTTCTCAAGGTGGCCTTGCAGACAAGCCCGGCACTGCGTTCCTCTGTGCTGGGACTTGGTGCCAGAAGCTTTATCAGGTTAAGCACTGCCTTCGGGCAGCCACTTTCAACCGGCCCGCCCGAGGGAGGTGAAATCTGTTTGCCATCCCTGCCTTAAGCATCGGAGTGAATGAATTATGTGAGTAGCAACCACTCGACATGGCTCTGAAAGCTGTGAATGGATTCAGCTCAGTCCCTGGTTCCCGGAAAATCCTTTGAGTGTCTACCGTGGAGCAGACAATGCTAAGAACTGAGGGTGCAGAATAACAAAAGAACAGCCTCTGACCCTGAAGCGCTTACAGCTGGTGGACAGGTCAGCTGTAACCTTAACCGGGGAGTCTGTCCCAAAGATCCCCCCTCCGACTTGTCATGCCCAACCTGTCCATTGCTTTTATGATTTATTAGCAACCAGCATAAACTGGTTTTTCTTGAAATTTGAATATAGCATCTTATGCTTTTTTTTCACTTGTTTTCATGGTTTTGAAAGCCGCCTCTGTGCTTTATTATTTTTGTGAAAAAAGTTAAGATTCCATGTGATTGGTCTGCTTTATTTGAAGGTACTGTCCAAGCACCCTTGCCTTTGCAGCCGAGAGTCAGCGTTTGATCCAGTGACAGACGTAAATGCCGGGGAGAGGCAAACTTGTAGCAGGTGTGCTTGCCTTTAAAACCCGGCCATCCTGCGTATTAGTCGATGTTCACGAAGACGCTAGGAAAAGCCGATTGACTTCGCCTCTGTGGTGATTATCAACGGGCAGCTTCCATCCCTGAGTGATTCGTTCGTTTTTGTTGCTAACTTAGGAGCACTGTGTAGCGCACGCCGATGCACTGAGGCTGACTGCTGCACTTTGACATACCGCTGTTAGCCTCCCTGCAAGAGACACACACTTATCGAAGGTGGTCTATTTGAAAGGGCAGCGGGGTGCGGAAATGACTTTTGCGGAATTGGCTGGTGCTTTTTTAAGTCAATGCCATAGTTTATTAACTAGCAAAGAAAAGGAGAACATTTGCAAGTTGCATAACCGTGTTACTTTTCTTTATAAAATAAAACGTTTAAGAATGAGGGTCCTCTAGATGTCCCTCCAAGGTTTCTCCTATCCAGTAAGCCATCTTAGAAGAAAAACAATCTGTGGAATGAATGGTTATGGTTTTTTGTTAAGAGAAAAAAGTGGTAGTGAGTCCTCACTTTCAAGTTTGGCTGAAAAGGGAACCATTACTGCGCGATTCACTTAATTATGATGAAACCTATGAAGCACTCATTGTAATGGCACTTGTGTCGTGTCTATAAACAGAACTGTAGAAGAGGAACCTCTTCCATTAAAAGAATCCAGAATCAGTGTTTGTCGTTTGTTGTCCTGTGCATCTGCTGTGCACACAGCACTGTGGTGGAGCTGGGAAGAAACGGGTGAGGTTCCAGCCAAGTCTCTGCCAGGGAAGAGATACTGGCGGGTGCGGAGTGCCAGATGACCACGTGCCAACCAGGGAGCAGTGACCTCATTAGCAGGAAAGGTCCCCTCAGGTGACGAGAGCGTTAGCGTTTGCAGAAGGAGCCGAGCGGTATAGATGTGGTGGGAGGACTGGTTAGGATTTGTAGCAGAGGGTTCGAATGTTCAACATCCTGGGTATTTCTTTGTCCCACTCAGAGCCTTTATAATATTTAATAATAAGAAAGTCTAAATGCCAGATTTTAGCATTTGTATCCCCCCTTCCCAGTCCCCCATCATTTGTTCCTGTTTTGAAACTTTGCCTGTGGTTTTCTTTGGTGCTCTCTCCACTCCAGGAAAACTGAAAACACACAGCTCCTTGTTGCCCTGCTGTGATGGTCAAAATTGGCAGACTGGGAATCTGGGCGTGGGTGTGGACGGACATGTCCGTTGTACTAGATGTCCCATCTTCTGGATGTTCCATGTGTGGAAACATACATGCACATGTGATTGTATACATGTAATTTTAAGCATTATTTTACTAAAGCCACTATCACATGTTGTCTTTGAGTCAATTCTGAGTCATGGCTACTCACTATGTGCCAGAAGAGAAGCATGCTCTATGGAATCTCCAATGGATGATTTTCCCCCCGAAATAGCCAGGTCTTTCTTCCATGGTGCCTGTGCGTGAATTCAGAAGAATCTCTACTTGGTTGACTGATGAACTTGCCAGCCATTTGCACAACAACTCCATAGGAACTCAAAAACACTAGGGTAAGTCAACAGGTATTGCCACTAGGCTTCCAATTTGTACATGCATGCGGTTATTCCAAACACACCACACTGAGACGTGGGAAAGAGGCTCAGAGGGGAGCCACAGCTGACCTCTGGCTTCCCTCTTGCCACAAAGCAGCGCTCAGGCATGCTTCCACCCTTTTCTGCTGGATTCAACAATACGTGGCAGTGGCCACTCAGACTCAGACCGAACTCACAAGTCCGGTGGTTTTATAAGGGAAGATAACAGGTCATCAGAATTCAGAATCCGTAAACGTTAAGGATACAGCCATTGGTTCCCAGCAGCCCCTCTCCCCAGCCCCTAGCCAAGGCTCTTCAGTCTTTAGCCGCCCAGCCCTGTGCTCCTGTGGTGCCTACTTCCCTGGGCCCGGAAGCTCCCTGCTGCTCTGCTTCAGTCCCCTAGTTGCAGAGCTGCTCCTGTCTTCTGTCTCCTGGTTTTCTTGCCTTGACCCCCGAGCCTGGCCTGGCTCCTCTGCTCTGTCTCATGGTCTCATGCTGCAGCCTCTCATCTGGTGACACCACTTCAGAGACCTTTAATGTCTCTACTGGTGACTCTTCCAATGCTCCTGGATTTCCTCCCTCGACGTCATCGTCGTCTTCCTTTTAAAAGTTTTATTGGCATCTCCTTCACATATCATACAATTTAATTGTTCAATCATATTAAGATTTGTGCCATCATCGCCACAGTCAACACCAGCACATTTTCTTCTCATGCTCACTGTTCCTTCTGCTCCCGAGATGGCTCTTCTACACAGAGGAATGGCTTCGGTGGAAGTGTCACTTTGTCTTGCAGCACACCATGCCCCTCAGGAAACAAAGGGTGACAACCTGGTTCAGACCCGCCGCTAACCTGTAGACTTGATCCTGT